CCTCGACCGAAGAGTTTCNCCTTAGATCTTCAACTGATCGAATTTATTAGAATATCATATCACCGGCAAAGTTCAGGGTGAAAAATTCCTTGCCTGCTTTCTTGGACAGCGTCTCTGATTTCCCCAAAGAGAACTTCGATCCATAGCTGGGGAAATAATTCCTTGCATAATACATGCTTCGGAGCTTCGATTTGAAGCATCGGAGACAGAGTGATAGACCCGAGCCTCCTCGGCGAGCGGTTTTATCGATTCCCAAAATCAATTCTCCCGAGCAGATTGTCTTTGTTCCTATGCGTGAGCTACTTGGAGAATTTCTTGCGGCCAAACTTTACCAACTACAGTCCGTAACATCAATTTATCGACACTAGAATAAAATCGCTTTCGCGCGCGACTGAATAACGACGAAGTTGAAATGTCGTTGGTAACCGCGTCACATTGACCGAATGTTCTTCCGGTATCAAACACGAGGAGGGATCAAAGCTCAGACTTTTTCTCGAGGATCAACCTCGAGCTCACATTGTGGCATATTCGACCGCGCTTCAGAGTGTCGCGCCGTATTCAGACTGCGTGCAGCCTCCGTTTTTTGCTGAGTTCGTCGCGCCCGTAGGGTACGTTGCAACGCAGTGTTCTCCGCGCGGTCGGTGGCAGCTTGAGCTTCACTGCGATTCACTCGGAGCTGCTGTTGTTGGAAAGAATTGATCTCTCGGGAAACGGCGATCCGGTCTTGATCCCGGTGAGCTCGTAGACGTCTCATCCGGTCTCGGGCAGATAGACGTCGAGAACGTTCAGTCCGTCGTGGACGTCTGAGCTCCGGCATGATTGAATCCGAGATCGCTCTGAGACTCTTGTGAACACTCGCGAACAATGTAAGAAGACACCGGAAGTTCGAGTAGCTGCACTGGCAAAAATTGCGATTCTGACTTCGGAATAGTAGACGGAAGGGTTGATCTGTCGATCTCTTGGCTTCGTCGTCTATCGCGAGCAGATCGGAGAATTCCGTTGTAACGGGCGCCGACAGTTGGATACACGATGACGTCACAGTACATACTGAAGAAAAACTCGGAGTTTTTTGCTTCCCCCAGGAAACGGTGGGTCGGAATGATACCAAACTTACATAGGCATAAGACGGAATCGCGGCGCATGTTCTGAACACGGAATGGGGTCCACTTAATGGGGCGAAATAGTCGATGAGGTGCGAACTGACTGACGGACAGACATTACGCTTTTATTATAGGGGGTGATTATAGGGGGTGATAGGGGGTGATTGGGAACGAAATATGGCGTTAGAACTTACAAAAAACGGAAAACCAAGCTCTCGGATCTTCAGAAAAGAAAGATCATCCAAGATGCAGGCAATCAAAATTTCTCATAAGCCCAAATTAGAGACACTAATGACCTACCAGTGCATAAACAGACCATCTGGCGCGACTTGAAGGGCGCTCCCCACATAAAATTCAAGAAGATGTGCGGAAAACCTCCGTTGACGCGGAGTCATCGAGAGAAGAGACTCGAGAGAGCCCGGCAGTGGATGAGTTGGACCACGGAATGGGAGAAAGTGGTGTTCAGCGATGAGTAAAAGTTAAATCTGGACGGTCCAGATGGATTTCACAAGTATTATCACGATCTACGGAAAGAGCCCCGATCCTACTCCAAGAGGCGAAGCGGGGGTGGCTCTTTCATGATTGGGGAGCCGTCAGTCGCCTTGGAACGTTCAAAATCATATTCATAGATACGATAATGTGTGCGGTAGACTACAACCGTGTCCTGGAGAATCATCTACTGCCCAACGCCTTGAGGTTTTTGGGCGGAGATTTCGTGTTTCAACAAGATTGTGCCGCCGTGCATACAGCGAAGGTACTCAAGGATTGGTTTAGAGCCAAAGGAGCTCGCTGTTTAGACTGGCCTGCGGAAAGTCCTGACTTGAAAATCATCGAGAACCTATGGGGGGCATTGGTCAGACTTGTTTATTGAAATGGGAAGCAATACAGCTCCCGTCAAGAACTGAAGGATGCGATTCTTGCTTGTTGGGAACAAATTGGGGAAAAAGAAATGAAGCCACTGTACGATCCCCTCCCGAAGCGCATTTTTGAAGTCATCAAGGCAAAAGGGGGCTCCACCAAGTATTAGGAGCGAGGATTACCCATTAAAACAGCAATAAATCAACCTGTCGATAATTTCATGTTGTGGCTCTTTTTACATTTTCTGAATCCTGGTGCAGTCAGTACGACAATTCGAAGCGGTGTTCCCGTATACAGGAGCCGCTAAGTGAGAGGAATACTCAATGGTGGCCCAAGCTCCGTCGCATGTGTCTACCTTGGAAAAATCGGGAATAATTGAGTGTCGATAAATTCGTGTTATGGACTGTATCTGCAGGATTCCATTCAGGAAGACAGTTCCTATCACAATGCGGGGAGTCGGAGCTTCAACAAGCCGAGCATAGAGTAGTTTCCCTGCGAAGCCTCAAAGGTTCCAGGAAACAGCTCTGGCGGAGAATCCGATACAGCTGGCGGAAACAATTTATGTATGCCTCAACAAACACGCACATACAATGATATCGATTCGGATGCTGTGGGCGATCGGAGCTGACTGGGATGGGAGTGTTCACGGGTAAGCATCAGCATACCTATAAGTCTAGTAGTACTTTGTGACTTAGTTAGAGTCAACTGGAATTTGGGAGCCGTCCAAGTGCGCTATCTGAGTGACAGTGATCTTAGTCCCCGCGATCGGCGATGTCGATTACCGGTTCCCAGCGCGCGCCTGTTCATCATTCTGGAATGAAACGACCCACAGTTCCTCACTTCCCTCCAAACCGTAGCGGGAGCTGCTTCCACTGACATTAAGATCGAGTGAAATTTCCGTCGGACCGAATCCTAATAAATCTCCGAGAGATTGACGCATATGATGGAGAGGATGAATGTAATAGGACAGGATGAAGAAGAGCATCTTTTGTGCTGATGATCATCGCGTAGATACAGTCCCACCTCTCCAAAAGTTACTCGTCAGAGCTCTCCAAGGCTCCCGGTTTATCGAAGCCCCGCTCGGTTCGGATCAAAACAGAAGCGCGCCTGGGTCTCGGGAGGACTCTGTCGGGAGGTTCGATTCGGGGGGTCGGGAGTATCGCATTTCATATGCATACATCTGGTATAGTATCACTCTCAGCGGAGCTCCCCGAACGGAAGAAGAAGTCGGCGGGATTCCGAAGTTTGGAGCGTTTTAGGAAAAATGTAATAAAACGTACATATTCAGTCTCACTTAAGTAGTGATTTATCCATCAGTTACTTCTCATCAGGGTCCAAGAAGTTCTATGTGAACTTGCGCGGATCGCAAGAACAACTTCGGCTTAGGATTAAAATAGGATTCGCATTCGTCGTGGATTTGCGCGAATACTTTCCTCTGAAATCGCGCGATCCTAGTCGCACTCAAGACCTCGACACGAACGCTTTCTGCGGAAAGTTTTCGTTCGCGGACCCAAGGTCCTCTGGCCTGGGACGCCTTGTTTCTGAGAATTTTTACGATCAAGACTGTTACCGATTTCTCGCCATTCATACCCCACCTTGCCTTCCTAATGGGGCTAAAACGTACTTCTTCGCTGATAACAAGTCCGTACCGCGGAGCTCTTGATGTAAATGACACGGTACCCAGCAGGTTTTGCCGAAGAATCCGACAACCCTTCCGAGTTTCTCTGTACAGCTGGCACGTTCTGGGTGCCGGAGGGCAGGATCGTGGTGTGTGTAGATAAGTTTTAGGATGGTTTCCCCCCTTGCAAAGTGGTGCAATGGACTTTCGAGCGCCGAGTGAAGTCTGACTAACTCATTCCGCTCACCATCTCACAATTCATCTCCACCTGTGTCACTAAATCGCGAGGCGAGAAGGCCCATTTCCCGACAAGTTCCGCGCTGTGCTTCAGCGATTCCGAATGTCGGCGGCAGGGAATGTCCGGCTCTGGGATCCGGTAGAGAATTTTGGTAGCATCTCACCGCGCTGATTACGACTCTATGAGAACCGATTCAATCAAGATATCAGATGGAGATCTCGTATCAATCGTGCGTCGCAAGTCGATCGGTAAGCCTCCAATTTCCAATCCTGGAGGTTCAGCAATAGTAATCAACGAGGGACGATCCGCATTCCAGTACGATTTGAAACCATCAACTGATGAAATCATGTTGCGGATCGAGGCGATTTTAGCTCAAGTTGGTCCCCGCAGGGAAGAGCGGGGACACGTGGACCGTAGAAAGCGCAGTTCGCCAGCCAGCCGCAGCGCTCGTCGAGCAGCAGTAGCAGCCGCGCACCGCGATAAGAGAGAAACAACAACAGAAGTCTGTGTTTTTGCAGTAGAGAGTGCGTGTCTGTCTCCTGCTGGTGGTTGCCGAAGAGAGCAGCCGTTAAGCAAGGACGTATTTATTCGAGCGGATTGGAGTGCGACAATGCCCAGATAGTGACCGGTTGGCGAGATGTTGCCAATCCATATCGACGATAAGGAGTATAAATTCCGAAGTGCTCCGGGCCGTCTGAGAGAATGGCTGCTACACTGGCTGAGGTGGGTGAGACGTGGCGCCGGTCTTTCCTAGCATTTGACGATTGGAACGGAGAGCGATATCTCAGCTGTCATCGCTTCGAGACGAATCGTGCTCTGATTAGGATGGGCCTGACGGGTACATTACGTGGTCGGTTTCGGTTTTTCCGTCCGGATGGTTGGGGGATCCTCAAAACTGTGGTAAATGTCATCGAAGAGTTTTGACAACTTGGCGGTCACTTCTAGAGATGACGGTGTCGAACATTCATCCGACTCCGACTTGCTCAAGCCGACTCCAATCCATTAGGGAAATGGGCGAGAACTTGTGATCTCACGCTCCGGGGCATCGGTGACAGAATTCCGTGAAATATCCTTCCTATGATTCCGGATCCGGGCAGGTCTGGCCTGGACTGAACTGAGTTCAAGAATCAGAGCAGGCCGGCACGATCTGATTCCGATCGGGACAGGAGATCCTGCAGAGAGGTTTCTATAATTAGAGGTTTGCTTGCCACGACTTCCGTCGGCGGAAGAGGAGGAAATCCCTCGTCACGACTTTTATAAATCACTGCCGGTCGCTAATGACAACCCAAACTCGGAATGGGATGCAAGTGCTTGCATCCTTCCCCTCCGAGGGCAATGTGAAGCTCGTTGTCGGGATAACTGCGTGACGTTTCCGTAGGGGGTTCCACCAAGAAACGGTCCCTACACCTCAATTCTTACGCAGACTTCGAGGGAAAAGCAGGGAGATCTAGAGGACAATCCACCGAATGAATTCAAGAAAATGCCACATACATAGCTCCGCCTCGATCCGCGAGTACCTGACGTCGGTTGCTTCTGCCTTCCATATGGCACGTATGCGGGAAGCACAGCCTTCACCACCGCCTTGGTGTTGCAGATTTGACCGGGACATCCATTTTGAAACTTTACCCATTCCTTTCTCAGAGTCATCATTTCGGACCAAGGGACTCGAAATTTGTTCTTGTTTCTCTGTCTCAATCTGGGATTCGCTTTCGTCGAACTCATATATGGCGTCTGGACGAACAGGTGACTGAATGCATCACTCGCCAAATGTCGATCGAAATGATATCCGTGAAACCTGATCCACGGTTTCTCAGGTCGGCTAGAGTCTTTTTCAATTTCGAATCGATATCTCCTTCCAGCTTGGGTCTTATATCGGACTCGTTCCACATGTTCTTCGACTGCTCGGCTTTGGTCACCGGATTGGTTGCTTCGATCATCATGAAATGGAGACCGAATGAAAGATTCACCTATGGATACGTGAGAGCCGAGGTCATGGCGGGCTTCGTCAACGGGCTCTGCCTAGTCTTCGTCGCTTTCTACATTCTTTCTGAATCCGTCGAGGTGAGGCTCAGCGTTCGGAGGACTCTCCCGAGATAAGATACCCCGACATAGTGCATTGGCGAACGAGAACATTCGGCCATCGCTCAGGCGCCTTCCGCTTGCGTGGCTAGTTTCACCCCCTCCCTGTATATGGAATAATTCCGCAAGATGAGGATCGCTGATCGATTCTTAACTTCACAGCGACTCATCGAGCCGCCTGAAGTCAAACACGACCGTCTATTCCTCGTTTCCGTCGCTGGACTCATCGTGAATCTTGTCGGAATTTTCGCTCTGAACCACGGAGGACACGGTCATTCGCACGGTCAGTATCGCTGTGACCACCGTTAGTCAGTTTTTTGGAAACGGAATCGTATTCCGCGGGACGAGTTTCCAAACCGGGAGGCAATAAACGCATACCTCCTTCTCTCTGTAGATGGTGGCGGACATAACCATTCACACGGCGGACACGGCCACAGCCACGGAGGCTCTCCCAAAGGCGAAAACATACTCCTTAGTATGGGTGCTTCCCACGGAGACACCGGCCATTCCCATAATGGTCTTTCCCATGGGACGGGTGGTCACGGACACTCTCATGCGGGTAAGTCGCGGGGTTCAATAAATATAGACATAGCTTCCGAAACTCGCTCCGAGCCGAGCTCCTTGCACCCACAATACCTTAAACCTTAAATTGTCCTCAGGAGGGAAGCGGAGTCAAATCATGCAAGGTGTACTCCTTCACATCATTGCTGACACCATGGGCTCGGTCGGCGTGATCGTCTCCGCTATTCTGATGCAACAATTCGGCTGGATGATCGCCGATCCGATCTGCTCGATGTTCATTGCCTTGTTGATTTTGATTAGTGTCTACCCGTTGTTGAAAGAGTCGGTGTCCGTTCTAATGCAGAGAGTGCCACACACGCTAGACAATCAGCTCCAAAGCTGTTTCCAACGAGTCGCGTCTCTCGACGGCGTCTACAGTGTACAGGACAAACATTTTTGGACATTATGCAGTGGAGTGTACATTGGCAATTTGAAATTGGAGGTGGCCCGTCGGGCGGACCTCAATGCCATCTTGCTGCATACTCACGCGATCTTCAAGCAGATCGGGGTCGATAAGCTCTTCGTGCAGACAGAGTATGCAGCGATGTGAAGAGCGAACTTACATTCCATGCTGTGGTGTAATCCATCTGCGTCTCTTGCCGGTGGCATTTTCCGCGACAGAGAGAAGATGGTGCGAGGATACGTGAATTCATTGACGGGAGTAGGTGCAATGAGTGGCAGCAAAGTTATTAGAATCATCATCATGTCACGATGTTGACTGACCGCTGTTTGGATGCTTGGACTATATTCTCAAATAGAGCTGTACATACTTTCTATTGTAGCGCTTAGTTTTAATTCAACAAATTTTGGACTGGGACGAAGGACACGATCAAACGGTCTGAGAGGAGTGAGCGCATAGATCTTTACCCGGTAAGGAGCGAAAAGCTCCGATTTACGGATCTAGCATCGCTCTGCTAACTGAGAGAGAAATCAAAGACCCCTCGTTTCGATATGGAGACGCTGCGCGACGAAGATCAGGCCGGAGGGGTCGACGTCGCAATGGATGCGGATGTTGTAAAATAATTAAACTTTCAGCCTATATTTCGACCTGATCGCAGAATTTCCCGTGCCTTCTATCATGCTAATTATTATTATTATTCCATATTCTCCTATGTGATATGTTTGTGTAGGTACATAATTCCATGTAATCTATTCTATACGATTCTATATTACCTATTCAGCATTATGTATGGTGGTTCCAAGCTCGGTTTCTCGATTTTCACCGAAATATTCGGGTTAAGAGGAAAATGTGCCTTTGATGACTCCTCTGGCTTTTGATTATTATTAGTCCGGAAAGAATGTTACCTACTATCTGCGGGTAGATTCCTGCGACAAAGAGGCCCGAGCTCAATTTTTCCCGATGGAGCAGGATGTTCCGTCTCGTTTTTTCTGTATTTTTTTATTCGCGGGAGTAGTGAGATTCGACGAAAACAGTGCGATTGACGATCCCCCCTTGATTTCCGATATTGAATCCGAAAATGATGTCTCCACCCGAGACTCAGCGCTTTCGGAAATAATGAGAAATCGCCTCGGTCAGCACCCGTCATAATCACAATCATTGTAGACCCCGAAGGGCTCTGACTTGGATCACAAAGGTTTCGTGAGCAGGAGCTTGGTTCCGACATTCGAGGTATGAATTTCACTTGAAGTTCTCTGAGGGCCTTCCAGAACCTGATAGAATGTCCCTCGGTAACCAGAAGAATGCGTCCACATTTTATTCTTCGTATTCAAAAAGTCTTCACACTAGAATTCACGACCCACAGGATCGTGGTACTTCCTCGAATGATCGCATTCAACATTCATCTATCCGCTTATGCAGTCTTGTGGGGTAAAGGCGGACTTTGGCTATTCACATGTACAGTCACATTTACATTCGTTGCAAGCGCATGAACTTCTTCGGCAGGGATGAAAACCCGAACTCAGTCATCTCGGCCCAGCCGTAGATTTGGGATCTCCAATCACAACTGCGAGGGTCGGGAACTTTGAGGGAATTCATTGAAGAAGATGTCGGATATCTAGTCGGACGAATCTCCCTTGTCGAATTATGATCCGACCCTGTCGCGTGGTTCCTGAACTCCCTAACCAAAGCAGGTGACTGCTCGCCTGAGATGGAGTTGAAACCAAGACCTAGCGTAGATCCTCCCTGGATATCCATTGCCTGAATACGTGGGATTCACTGCCTTGGAGCATCTTGCGGACGCTTCGGTGTGAATTTCATCCGAGCTTTCTTTTTGACACCGTTTTTCATGTCAGGATGTTCTCCATTCAAAGATTCTTCCTTTGTTTTTCGTTCAACCATCTCGTGTATCCGGGTCAGCTCCTCAAGAGTTTGATCGATCAAGTTGCAGAATTCTACAGCATGGTCCTTGTCCTGGAAATAAGGAGAAGTCTCCATTTCAGTGATCAATTTTCTCCGAAGTTTCAACTCGATAGGCCGGCAAGCTCGTCCCTCGGAAGATTCGCCACTTATTTCGAAAATTGACTCCGGGGACCCCTCCGACACCGTTGGAGCGACAACGGGGAGGTAGAGACGGAGAGAGAGCAATTGTTCTGGGAGGCCGGGACAATAAGGAGACTCCGTCGCATATCCAATGTATCGAATCGTCTCCAAGCTTCTTTAGTTGTAGGTTCGGACTCGAAGGGAGTTACATCGCAATATGCTTGAAAAAGTTACTAACAAGGAATGTGTCAGAAGTGTCCCATCGCTTTTCGATCCAGACCATGCTCATCGTGTTAGTCTCGGTGCGGAATGAAAACGTATAGCGCCTTTTAGCTGCTTAGGCCCTGGTTCCATTTTTACAGAAAATCCAAAATCACGTTTTCTGGCCTGGAATATGGACATTTCCCGCTCCTGTCGATGAATTTTCATCCGAGAGCCATGCCTGCGTTGTTCGAAATGCGCGCCTCTGAATTATTCCAGCCGCGAATCTTGAAATGCGTTCATCCGCCCCTCGGAAAACACGAGAATTCGAGAAATCGCGAGCTCTATCTAACGGCTTTCGGTACCGTTCACCACGAGGCAAAATTCCAGTTACCGTGAGGATTGACGATGGGATATCGATCGACTGCGGGGTGGTATCAAATGTGATCCACGTTGAAAAGCCAGTGCTCGGTGCATTGGAGATGTCCGGAATGGATCCAGAAACTGGGACCATGGTAGCAAGGGAACCATGCACGACCGTCAGACGAAGGAGCCATCGTTGTGGCCGAATTACTTGACAGAACACGCAGTTCGAGCTGTTGCGTTCAAGATGACGAGAACGGAGCTCGATGAGAGAGGAGTTGGAGCGATTTAGGGATGTCGAGGACAATGTGTGAGAGATTCTCCAAACCCTGAACTCCCGAGAGCAAGATCCCCACTGTGGAGGTGTGGAGCCCGACCGTAAACGCCAGTCAAGTTACAAGTCCCACAGCAGGAGCCGATGAGGAACTCTGTTCCGATTTGGAGGACTGACCACTTCCCGAAAATATCCCAGATTCTCGCTCCTGGCTAGGTGAATTCGGTGGAGCCAAACGGAGCTCCGTTCACATCTCGTACCATGGGGAAGTTTTCCGAAGTGCTATATAAGATGCTTCGAATCTGGAAGTTCAATTTTGTTGGAAACCGAAGTCGATTCGGATACCAAAAGAAATTATGCCGATACGAGCATCATTCATCTTGTCTTCTCTTCTATCAAAATTGAATGCCATCGATCTGACTTCTGCTCCCCTGACGCGGGCGTCGGCCCAGGAACTTCATCTCGCCGAAGGAATACTCGACTCGATTCTGGCCCTCGACGATCAGGACGCTTGCTTCCTCGAAACGGAAGAAGAGCTGTACGAGACGCATTTCGAAAGAGAGGAATTCGATGCCGTTTTCGAGGATTTCACCGACGAAGAAACGAGCGCGAGGCCCCATTTCCCGTACGAATACGTGTGTAAAGTGCTCGACTTCATGGACAGTCATCCTGGATACAAGAAGGAAACGATTCTTAAACGATTCCCTCAGGTTCGGCATCGGCGCTACCTCTCACGGTTCAGGGAGCATCGAGAAACTGTGGGACGCATCTTGAGAAGTACATTCAGGTGGCGCAATTTTGTAAGGAACAGTTCGACGCTGCACGGGCTCACGGTATCATAGTCCACGATCGTACCATCCGCATGTGGGCCCTCGCGAAAGCGAGAGAGGTCAGTCTGCCGTTGTTCAAAGCCAGTCACTCGTGGATCGCGAGGTTCAAGAATGCCCACCGGATATCTTCCAGAAGAATCGTCAAATTCGTGAGCTTCCGTCAACAACGGAACCGTGAAGAGATCGAAACCGAAGCGAAGCAGGTTCTGCTCGATTTTGTTCGCAACGTTAGAGATCGCTATGATCCGCGTGAAGTTCTGAACACCGACCAGTCTGGATTCAGTTATCTAGTGCATACGAATCGAACGCTGTCACACCGGAATGAGCAAACAACCGTAGGCGTCGTTAAAAGCCTGAACAGCCTTACACACAGTTACACGATCCAACCCGTGGTGAATATGAATGGCGAGCTCGTTGGACGACTGTACGTGAACTTGCAAGAGCGCACTGATGGATTTGGTCCGAGAGTTTCCCAGGATCTGCCAAACTTTCCGAATCTCTACGTGACTTGTTCAAAGTCGGGTAAATTGACCAAGAATTTGGTACGGGGCTGGGCCAGCTCAGTGTTTCGGCAGATGCTTTCGGACTCCGGAATCAAAAAGTGCATTCTATACGTAGATTCATGGGGTGGTCATCGGGATCAGGAGCTTTACGAGCTACCAGTGACAGAAGTGAACGTCAAGATCTTCCCCAAGGGCTCAACGAGCATCATCCAGCCTCTGGACTTGTATTGCTTCAGACAATGGAAGGACTTCGCGAAACGTCTGACAGAGCATGCCATGCTCTTGAACATCCGCCTCGACGACCGCAAGAGCGTCCTACAGATGCAGTCTCTGATATACAATCAGTTTCAACACCCGACGTTTCGTCCGTTGTGGTTATGTGGGTGGAGGCTCGGTGGATTCGAAGTTCCCGACATACCTTTCCCGAGCCTGGCGGAGATTTTGTTCCAAGTTCAAGGCCCGTGTCACGTCGAAAACTGCCGCTTCATGCCATTCATTCGGTGTGTCTATTGCGAGAAAATTCTGTGCGCCCAATGCTTCTACTGCCTGTTTCACTACCATTCGGGTGTTGACGAGTGACTATGTGGACGAAATTTTTGTCGGTACAAAATTTGATGAGATTAAACGAAATCGATGGAATTGACAGGAGAATCGATATGGAGAGTTGTCAATGAGAGGATTATGTTTCAGTGATAGTGTGGCACGATTCCGACACATGCATTCCCGAAGTTCGCTTGGGGAATGAGGAAAGGCTAGTTTTCGAATGGCGGAAAACGTAATATTGGATTTTCTGTAAAAATGGAACTAGGGCCTAAGCAGCTAAAAGGCGCCATACGTTTTCATTCCGCACCGAGACTAACACGATGAGCATGGTCTGGATCGAAAAGCGATGGGACACTTCTGACACATTCCTTGTAAGTTTTCGACCAGGTGGCTCATAGGCACCGCCATCGCGGCGAGAGCTCAAAGACTTCGCTCAGGTAGCCCGGATCCTGGATGAGCAAGGCTCTCTGGCTCATCTGCAAAACATCGACTCAATCACGAAGCTCTCCCTGGTACAGGGTCGGAGTCGTCGAAACACCACGGTGGAACGTGAATCAGATCGAAGCAACTCACCCCATCCGACATGACCGCCTGTGTTATCTTCGGCCAGAGGTCTCGAGCGCTATGTGGCACCGTGCTCGGCGAGTCCTGATCCATGATGACCATGTAAAGGATAAGCAGACGAGATCAGGTCCAAGCGGAAGCGATCCACTCGAAAAAGTTCCAGCGGGGCCTCGATACCATCGAGCTGTCCCTGATTCTTGTAGATCGGAGATGGGATATGCTTGAAGGATTGTCGTCGGAACTGAGCGACTTACGCTCCGAGATTTAAGGATTCCGTCGATTAGGCGGCGATCGCACGTGTGCGTGTTTTGTGTGGGGGTCTTCTCGCCCCGGCTGTCTCGAGTCTCGACGGAGCGATTTGTGTTTATTGGAATAAGCGACCAACGGTCCCCAATGGCCAGAATGGGATCAAAGGGAGCTACGGGAAATTCTCCGGACTCAGAAGAGGTACGTAAGTTGGACCCGGAGCGAATATCGTTGATCGGAAACACGGGGACATGGACTGATTCCCGGAACGTTCTCTATCGCATAGGCGAGCCACAGTTGTTCCAAAAGGCGTCGAGTTCCGGCATCGGGCTGAGGATTTCTCGTTCTTCCAGGAAATGGAAGAAGAGCGCATAGCGGAGCGCCCTGATGTCAACTCTGACTCCGAAGATGACATGAAAGGTTTCGATGCCGAAAAATTGTCGGCGGCAGAGTCGAAGAAGAGAACTGGTGGTTTCCAGTCGTTAGGCTTGAATCCCAGTCTTCTGAAGGGTATACAGAAGAAAGGCTATAGGCAACCAACCCCGATTCAAAGAAAGGTGAGGCTCAGTAGAGATTGCGCTGATTACCCCATCTCTTGATGCCAAACATGTGAGATCCAAGAGTATTCTGCCTTCTGATATCTGACTTCTCCGGATACGAAAGGGAGTGCCAAGCATGGATATATTCGGGGAAGCAACTACTAAGTTACCAGGCGGCGCGTGATTCCATCCTCTGCCCTTTCCAGGCCATTCCTCCGATTCTGGAGAGGCGCGATGTCGTAGCCATGGCTCGAACCGGCTCTGGGAAAACAGCAGCGTTCTTGCTGCCTATGTTCGAGATACTCAAGACACATTCACCAGTAACGGGTGGACGTGCTCTTATCATCTCCCCAACCCGAGAACTCGCGATACAGACGCACAAGTTCTGCAAAGAGCTCGGAAAATTCACCGACTTGCGGAGTGTTGTGATACTCGGAGGTGACTCCCTGGACGATCAATTCGCCGCGATGCACGAGAACCCTGACATCATTATCGGTACTCCGGGCCGTCTTCTGCACCTCGTTATGGAGATGAATTTGAATCTCCGCATGATTGAGATCGTGGTTTTCGACGAGGCAGACAGGCAAGTGATAAATATTGGAGCTTTTGGCATTACGTGGGCATTTGTTGATTGCCTTCCTGCTCCCGTGAAGCTCCCTCAGAGCTCACGAAGAAAGGGAATATCCCATCGATCACTTTCCATGAGCCACGGGGAAGTGACGTCAGTTGCCTCTTCCACAGACTCTTCGAGATGGGACTCCAAGAACAGATGACGGAGATCCTGAATCGGCTTCGTGATACTCGACAGACGGTACTTTTCTCGGCGACGTTGCCGCGACTTTTGATCGATTTCGTTCAAGCCGGCCTGAAAGATCCGCTCCTGATCCGGCTCGACGTCGATTCGAGGCTCCCGGACACCCTCAGAACCGTCTACTGGGTGATGAGAGAGGAAGACAAGTATGCCGTTCTGCTTCATCTCCTCAAAGAGCTCGAAGTGGGCGACAATCTCACCGTTGTCTTCGTCCCGACGAAACATCACGTGGAGTACATTCGAGAGGTATGTTCAAGATCATTTACTCTAATCGATCGTTTTCCCCCGTGGAACGCTTCCGAGACTGGTTACACGAATTCGGCAAGAACTAAACCCCGTGTACGAACTCATTTCTCCTGTCCAGATTCTCGAAAAGATAGGGATATCGTGCGGCTGCGTCTACAGCTCATTGGACCAAGTAGCAAGAACGGTCGCTGTGAACGCTTTCAAGTCGAAAAGTCTGAAGATCCTCCTGGTGACGGATGTGGCAGCTAGAGGTATCGACATTCCTCTGTTGGACAATGTAGTCAACTTCAGTTTCCCCGCCAAACCAAAACTCTTCGTTCATCGAGTGGGACGGGTGGCCCGAGCGGGTCGTTTTGGTACGGCTTACAGTTTCGTCAGTGCTGACGAAGCGTCATACCTCTTGGATCTTCACCTATTCCTGGACCGGAAGTTAACGTTCCCAGAGCCCAACATGGCCCAGGTAATTGGAGAGCCTTTCTGGGCAGACCCTAATGTCCGTCTTTTGACGAAGATTTCCCTATTCCCTCGACTCTTGTTCGAAAGCAGTCGTCGTCTGTAACATTAATGCGATGTCCCAGAGATTAAGCTGATGAATTGCAGGACGAGGATCGTATCCTCGGGTCGGTGCCGCAGTCAATTATCGACGAGGAACGAGCAAATCTCGATAAGCTGCACAGTCTGAGTGTTGATATAAGCAACTTGCAGAAGGTCTGTGCGAACGCCATGATCCAATACCGAAAGGCAAGACCCAATTCAAGTGCTGAGTCCAACAGAAGGATGAAAGCTCTTCTGAAGGGATCGGTGAGTTTCGGCTGAGCCCTTGTCCGAGGTTCTGATTCCCCGACATAGTGTACCCCTACAGCCTACGTTCATCGAATCTCCAAGGTCTCGAATTGTCGTTCAATCTAGCCAGAATTAAGAAACAATGAGTAAAAATTCAGGTGCCCACACATCCGATGTTCGCCAAGGACTCGACGGACGTTGCCCGGGAGGACATGTTGAGTGCTTTCAAGAAGTTCAAACCAAACGCGACGATTTTCGAAATCGGCAACACAGGGAAAAGCGAGGCATCAGCCGTCATGCGGAACAAACGGCGAGCGCACGACGACCTCATAGAACGATCGTAAGATTAGGAAAAGTGCTACTCAATATCCTCGTGGGAGATTCATGGCAGAGCCCATCGGGGAAACGTCACAGAATACGCACTCACGCGACCCTCTTCTCTGTATTTTCAGAGCGTCTAACGACAGAAGTGAACCGATCCTGGCGAAACAGAGCCCGGAGGACAAAAAGAGTACGCTGGAGGACGCCGACGAGGATGCGATCAAAAAAGTGTTCGCGACGGCGAGCTGGAAAGTGAGCAAGAAGAAGCGAGCGCGGGAAATGAAGAGTTTCAAGGACACCCAGTTCTACATTTCACCCTTGCCGGCTGACCACCACTTCGAGAACGGATTGAATGTCGAGAAGAACTTCTCGCGAGAGGCGCAGAGCGAAGTTCTCGACCTGATGGGAGAGGACACCGACGACATCAGAAAGAAGAATAATCGCATGAAATGGGACCGAAAGAAGAAACGATTCGTTCGGGAGGACGATGGGAACAACCCGAAAAGCAAAATGATACGAACTGAGAGTGGAGCTCTAGTCCCCGCTTCGTATAAGAAGGATCTCTACAAACAATGGAAACGGAAGAACAACATTGATCTAAAGGACAACCACGAAGACGAGGCCGAGGAGGGAGACATGTTCGGGAAACAGAATCTATACCGACGGGAGCTCGGAGTGAACCAGAGGTTCCAGCCGAAGTTGCGCAGGGTCCAAATCGACGAGAAAACAGGCAAGAGGATCAAATCGGAGCTCAAGAGGCCCGAAGTTATCCTCAAAGAATACAAACGGAAGAAACGAACGCAGCACCAACAGAAAATGGCCAAGAAAAATCGGGAACAGGGTAGAACACGCCGGAGGAAGCCAAGAATATAATGTGGCATTTCCGAGCTTGAATAAAGCGCTTTGTTAAACGATCTCAGTCCGATGGTATTCGGTCGTTGAATCAATGAGGGGCGGTCGACCATACACGAAGCGAACAGGGAGATCGCGGAGGAAGACAAGAGTTTTCATCATAATTCGGTGTCAGATAAAAATTAACGTGCACTTTATTATGAAACGTCTCATATCAGTATACAATTCCGTACAACTCACTAAAAATAGATGCTCTCTATTGCAGCTCATGAATATCTCCACTTCTTAGTTGGGATACTTCTCAACAATCATCGCGTGTCCGTGACCACCGGCGGCGCAAGCAGCGATGACACCGAACTGTCCGCCTTCCTTCTCGAGTCGGTTCGCGGCCGTGACCGCCAGACGCACGCCCGTGGCACCGAAGGGGTGTCCGATCGACAAAGATCCGCCCCAGTTGTTCAACTTTTCCATCGGGACAGAACCGAATGGTGCCTTGCGACCCATGAATTCCTTGGAGAAGTATTCGCTCTCCATCGCGCGCAAATTGGCGAGGACCTGGCCGGCGAACGCTTCGTGGATCTCGTAAACAGAGACATCCTTGATCCCGAGCTTATTCCTCTCGAGCAGGACGGGGATGGCGTAGGCGGGTCCGAGCAGGAGCTGATCCTTGGCATCCTGAGCGACGTAGATGAAGTCTCTGAGGTAGGCTTTGGGCTTCAGTCCCATGGCCTTGGCCTTCGCCTCGGTCATGATGACGCAAGCGGACGCGCCGTCTGTGAGGAATGACGCGTTCGCAGCGGTTACGGTTCCGTGGGGTTTGATGAAGGCCGGCTTCAATTTGGCCATCTGTTCCGGAGTCGACACTCTGATTCCATTGTCCTTGCTCAGCGGTTCAGTTTCTTTGGGCAACGTCACCGGCTCGATGTCCGTTAGCAAGCCTTCTCTAGTTGCTTTGTCGGCCATCGTGTGCGATCGAAGAGCATAGGCATCTTGTTCAGCTCGAGTAATTCCGAAAGAAGCAGCGAGTCGGTCTCCTGAGTGACCCATCGTCTCGCCGGTAGTGAACTCAGCGACCGCGGGGAGTTCCGGAGCGAGCAGAGACGGTCTGAACTGCGATAGAAGACCGAGTTTCTGCATCGGGGTTTTCGCCTTGTTCGCCGAAAGCATCAATTTGCGAAGTTTACGGGAGAAACGGATTGGAACATCCGAAAGAAATTCGACACCTCCAGCGATAGCCGTATCGATAGTTCCCAGAGCGATCTGACCCATGGCGGTTGTTATAGCCTGGTTCGCGGAGATGCACGCCATCGTCACGGTATGACACGGAGTCCGATCGGAGAAGCCACCTATGAACGGCAGGAATATCTTTCGTTAATTACGTCGCTGAGCCCGGAACCCACATGGAGGGTATTTTTCTGGAGGAGTCGTTCTCCACGGCCTTGAGGCAAGGATCTGATCCCGAGGCTCCATTCAATCACTCACCACAGAGCGCAGCTTCACGAGCGACATTGCACGTCTTGGGCTCCGCGATCACAGAACCGGCGATTATGTACTGGATTTCCTCTTTCGGGATGCCCGTTCTCCTGAGAATTCCTTGGAAGGCCATCCGCTGCAGATCATGCGCCATCATGTTGTTGTACTTCGTACCGGAAACCATGAAGGGAGTCCGGCAAGCGTCCACCAGGACGATGTTCTGGGAGGGTCTAGCCGGTCCATTGACTGCAAAAAGATTAATAATACAAAATGATTCGTTGTGATTCCGAGACGACGTGCTCCATCCGAAATTACAAATGATGCCGGATCATTTGGAAGGAACAATAACCAAAAGTCACGCGACGATTTGTGGAAGAAACAAATAAGCGGCGCAATGCGTGAGCCGGTATTGAGTTAGGATATATGCCCGGTAGAAGTTGGGATCCCAGAGTTACTGCTGTCGAGCAGAAGCAGAGCGATTCCCTCGATACGAACAGATCTTGGAAGAGATTACGGCAGAAGCGAAACAAACAGGGCGAGCATTGACCGCTCAGATTGCGATTCCTCGTCATCAGGGAGCGCTAGACGTTCGGGTGAGGGAGCAGTCGAGTGACGCTAGCACTTCTACCAGGAAGAGAAGAAAAACGAAAACTGGTGCCCGAAAGCCGCAACGATAACCAACAGACTCCGACCTTTGGTCGCGACCTTTCCCCAGCGCTAGCGCTGTATCCTTCAGTGACGCACGAATCACTGCTCGATTTCTGACTGCCGCACCGTTTTGGTTCGGACATTCGAACCCGCTTCTCACGGCGCCTCGAATGAGCAGCCTGCGGAAACGATTCCGGCTTCTGAGCCGAACTTCAGTTTCCCGGGGCGATTTCCGGTGCCAAGGACACCGCTAGATCTGCATCCGTCCGCGCACGAAGCCGAAACTGCTGCGGTCCACTCTTTCACAGCGTCTCATATCCGAAGGATTCATGTACATACATGCAGTAATTGAGCATGGTCTTGCATGCTTCATGTGACTTTTGACTCCAGGCGGGGTCAGATTGTTCTCAGGAGAGGAAAATATCTCTAGATTCTCTCCAGATGCTCTTCTCCGAGGATTCTCGTGATCCAAGAATAATAATTGAATTGCGCGGGGATGAGTATTCGCGATTTGGAAGGCTCTTGAAGAAGACTTCTCATGCTCGAAGCCCGCCACCTGTCCCAAAGATATAGTCGCCTTGTCTGGTTGGCAAAGGCTGGCTGATCGAACCAACTGTTTCAATTTACGATTCCCTACGACCCGGAAAACTCAGCTCTACTTACGGGTCTTATACGATCGCTCCTGCTGGCCTCTGGCGCACACTGCAATGAGAAACTTCAAATTAGGAGACGAGATGCGATGATAACATTCTGAAGAGCTTGGCGACACCCATTCCAGACGAGGAAGAGGGATTCAAAATCTGATGCACTCAGGAGAGCTCGATCCGAGCTGCTCCTCGAGCCAAGCGGAATGAGGATTTCGTTGTCGCCCTCTCTGGTCCTACGATTATGCTCGTTTGCTCTGAATTGGAAGCCGCGTCGTGAAATGCACCCCACAGTGATGCCTGACATGGGAGGTGCCGCTATGCCGACGGAGATTCAGAGAGTGGTAGTCACCCGACACTCAATCGAAGCGTCGACACGGAATTGAAAAGAATGATAATGATGATGGGAGTAAAGTCGATACCAGGGATCAGAAATCTACGCCTAGTTAGCATGAGTATCGTACATCATGACGATATGCAAGTCATAACGAGTCGAACTTTAATCGGAGCTCCGCCATTGGGAGGGAGTATCTCAAAAGGCTTGCTCTGTGAGCGATATCGAATTCCAAGGGTCAATATTGCAGGCCGTGATGCAGCATTTTTCCGCTCGTTCATACGATCCATTTTCGCTCGGAATCTCCTCGACAAGCGGTCCACGATTGCAATATTTGATGCTCGGGGAACTATTTCACGATGCTTTCATATCGAACTAGGGGAGTTCCGTAGCAGCTTCGGCATGACATTGAGTCGGCCTGCGTGCTTCATTACGTCAACGCTATTCTGAGACCAGGGGCAGACCCTAAACTCATCGGCAGACCCGAGCATCATAGGGCCCGTGAATCTAGGTTTCTTCGCGCTTCCAGGTCAGGCGTGTCATTTGAGCCTAAAAATAGGATTCTTAAGAGTGTCCAGCCCATCTGACATTTACACCGAAACTCAAGAGGTCGAAATTTCCAGCATCTCTGGATAGGAAGCAGGATTCGCGGGGGATTCATGTCCGGAGGTTCCACAATTTAGGTCATTCTCCAGACGTTTGTGCGCGGAATTTGCTCAAAGAGCTCCCTTCCTCTCTCTCGATTCTCCAGTATTCGATCGGAGTCACGAACGGAAACTCATGTTTCCGTGGATGTCTTCGAGCGTATCTTGAGAGCTCCCCGCTTCCAAAGATCCATCCGCTGCAAACTCTGGCTTGATGATCATTCTCCCTGAGGCTCAAGACTAGGAGTTCCGGAACTTCTTCCCGCAGCGCTCAGCTCTGATCGACGTCGAGGCGCCACCTGATTCTGGATCTGCCGGCTCTGGGAAATGGCCCCCGAAAATAGCCTCGATATCATATGTTTCCTCTCCACTACTGTCCTCGGAGAATGCGTCTCCTGGAATCGGCTGTCGATTCCGCTCCTCGCGGAAAATCTGCACACGGAAAATGACCACTTGTCCCAATCAGGAGACGTCGATCGGAAGCAGTTTCATAGAGCGCAGGCTCCCGGGGATGATTTCCAGAGCGGCGCGACGGTGTCTGTGCGCCGCAGCAAACGAAACCTGGCAGTAGTGACAGTGTTGACCTTCCGGAGACGTCAACAAGTCGATATAAGCTCATTCCTCACTCGGAATGGAACCGATGCCAAGAATATGCCCAACTAGAGCCCTCGGGCCGAAATAATCGCTCGGACGTCGCATGGAAACTGTTGAAATGAACGACAGTGAAGATGGTGAATCTCAGTCCCCGTCTCAGTTCGACCCCACATCAATCGACACTTCACCCTCATTAATCAAAGAAGCATCTATCCTCGTCTATTCGTAACTCCGGATCCTCGTCTCATCCGGACCCTCGTCTTCTAAGAACCCCGAGTACATCTAATCCCTCGTCCACATCTCCCGCTTCGTATACGCACTCCGAATCCGCTTCCTAGAATCATTAGCACCCCACATCTCAGAACTCGATAGATACGGTCAACCTCAAGCATAGGTACTATCCTAAAACCCTTACTCCAGAAATACGTATATAGGAACTTGTAGACTAAGAATAAACTACTGTCCGCTATCCTGTATCCTACCATCAATCCCTGTGTATTTCATCACTACTTCTCGTGCGGTCTGAACCTCTACTCTCGATCAGTGCCAGCTCCTGACTAGGGCACAAAAAGCTTGGAATCACAAATTCTGACACGTTATCAGCGCTTTTTCCCGCTCTTACGAACCTGATTGTGACTTCCTTCGGTTTGTGATATTCAACTGCGACTACGTTAGGTGAGTTACCAGTAGTTAGAGAGTAAATAGCGACTGTCAATCCGAAACACATCACACAACAACGCATCTTCACACATCAATGCAACAATCTCCGAACAACAGTTTCGAATTAGTCAACGCCTCAGATTCACTCGATACTACTTCTTCCACAACACAACAAGTCATGGCCAACAGCAACGAAAATGTTCTTCATTCTTTGGCGACGAAATTGCCGAACTACGCAGCTTTCCGTCTTCATATTTCCGGTAACAACTACCCTGATTGGAAAACAGTCATTAATGTCTTGCTTTCCGCTGAACCAGATTGCTGGGAGGTAGTCAATCAGTCTATTATGCCCGATGACCCGAAATTCGCTAAGGCAAACAGCCTTGCGCGTACCATAATCCTTAATTCTCTGGACATTAGCCTCGTTCGCCTAAAGTTTAAGGGCAACGTCAGCGCGTTCACAGCTCCTATGATGTATCAATTGATAACAAAGGAGTTTGACCAAGTCACTGGAACGAAAATCCAGGCTACGATGCGAGCAGTCTTCAATTTCCGCTTCAATCCAAATAAGTCTCCAGTCCAAAACCTCACAAAATTCAGACAGCTCCTCCAGGATGTGACTGAATCCGGTGGTATTCTTGACGACACCGTCATCACCTCACGTCTCCTGGAAGCATTGCCCTCTACCTGGTCTGGTTTCATCCAGTCCTGGGGAATTCAGGCCGAAGAGCGGCAAACAGTTCTAAATCTCTATGCGGCTATTGAAAACGAAGAAACACGTCTGAAATCTATCGCTAGAAATCAGCCTCAGAGCTCTAACAATCAAGCCTTCTACTCCCAATCTAATTACCCGAGACCTCAAAATCGAAACTTCAATAATCCAAATAACTCTTACTACGGGAACAACGGATTGTTCAATCCGAATAGAGATCCTAGAATCCGAATAGAGATCCTATTTGTAGAATCACAAATTCTGACAGAAACGTATGCGGATGTACAGTAAGGAGACCGATAACCTCCGCCGGCCTCGGGAGCGCAGACTCCGAGATCAAAACAAAGGCGAGGATGTCGCTAAGAATCCGGGGCAAATCCAACCCTCGTGAACTCGACATATCGATTCATCGTTCGGAGGCTCCAGAACTTACGAAGTTTCGTGCTGAGGGGCTTGATATTGCGGGTCACTAAGTGAGACATGCTTGCTGCTATCCACGGCTATCCTGGGCAACTGTGAACGTCGGCTGCACCGGAAGTCGTGCTCAGGTGTCCAAGCCCGTATTTTTTTGCGCAAAGGCGAGTAATTCAAGAGGAAAAATGTATGACAGGGTTCCGACTCATGTTATGGGAATGCTCGTGAAGATTTTGAAACCTAATCCGCGATTTTTAGCAAAAAAAATAGAGTCACGTGACCCCGATTCCTGAGTAAAATGAGCGAGATTCGCAGCAGTGAGTCCTGGATTTCGGCTAGAACTACCAAATCAGGTGTTTGGCGCAAGGTTTTCGGTTATTGAAGTTGAAGAAAGCGATACACCAGGACGAAAGAAATCGTTGAGTTTCGCATACGGCTACCTTTTCCGGGTGCTCGTCAGAGTCCTCCTTGAAGGTCTCGTAGTCGGATAGCGCTCTGCCATTTCGTTGATTTTGCCGATTATCGGCTTGTTGTGAGCCTCGAGCGGGAGCGATCTTCATTCAGAAGAGCTTTCGTCGATATCAGGTTAGTTTTCCTGACGTTTCCGGGATATTTCCGTTTTTCCTGTTTTTCCCGGACATACCGGCGATCATCGACCAATAGCGCCGTGTTGTCACGGGGGTCCCGAAGACTGACCAATGCGGTCACTTTTCCGATTGAACCTTGTCACAAGAGGGAGAGCTCCTCGCGGTCCGCGAGAAATCCTTCGCGAAATCATTCTTGGCTGTTGGGACGGACTCTCATAGGAACTATTCGAGAGCTCGTTCAACCTCAAATCCCCGAAGATATTCGAGCATCGAGCTCAAAAATCAAATGAGAGTCCAGAGACAAAGTAGAAGATCCCGACAGGGCTCCTACGAAGACTAATATTAGCCAGCATAAATGATCTGTTGAAATGAACGACAGTGAAGATGGTGAATCTCAGTCCCCGTCTCAGTTCGACCCCACATCAATCGACACTTCACCCTCATTAATCAAAGAAGCATCTATCCTCGTCTATTCGTAACTCCGGATCCTCGTCTCATCCGGACCCTCGTCTTCTAAGAACCCCGAGTACATCTAATCCCTCGTCCACATCTCCCGCTTCGTATACGCACTCCGAATCCGCTTCCTAGAATCATTAGCACCCCACATCTCAGAACTCGATAGATACGGTCAACCTCAAGCATAGGTACTCTCCTAAAACCCTTAAAAAAGAGCTTGGAATCACAAATTCTGACATGATCAATGGTCAGGAAATGCAGCCCCCGTGGCTGTTGATGGTACTACGTCAGGAAAAATCTGAATGAGCCTTCCTGGCGAGGATCAGCCGTCGCTACTGCGATCCTCGATTTCTGAAAGCCGTCGCGGGTCGTGATAAGTTCATTCTTGGGCGATTGGAGGAGACTCCCGAGTTTCCTTCCACGTATCGAGTTTCCCCGTCCGACTGTCTTCAGACAGCCGGCAATCAGAAACTTCAGTCCTTCGGACGGGGGCGCGAAGCGGCGATTCCAGGGCTTCTGCCATCATTTTCTATTCTCCGTTTTGACGTGGTATCTCGGTCAGAAAAATCACCGCTCTCGTCTCCGATATCACCTGAGTCTCCTGAGAAGTCTCGACGAACTGACAAGGGGTTCTGTCCGGAGGGTTGGACGACAAATGGGTTACCTGCCTGGATTAGTGCTCTAACTCGGATTCCTCTATCCTTCCACAGTGTCAACATGTCTCGGATGCTACTCAGCGGTGTCCCGCGGAGACTCGCTCAAGTTGCGGTCCGCCAGTTCCATGCGACTCGAAGTGAGTACCCACTACTCCGAAATTGAGGTTCAGAGCGAGTTCGGGAAACCGGCTCTGACCGCCGACCGCACGAGAATCTTTTCCCTGTTTTACTCTCCGGCGAATTACGCGATTACGATCTGAATACCCAGCTTAAGATCCCCTTCGGAGGTCCGTGATCGATATGAGTTGCTCTCGAAACGAATCTCGCCTTATGTTTGCAGATCTGAACAAGCATCTGACCACGGAGATCAAAAATGGCGTTGCCGTTGTCAAGATCGACTCACCTGGTGCCCGAGTCAACGTGTTGTCTAAAGAACTCATGTTGGAGGTGAATGAAACCATGGCCAACCTCAAATCGAATTCCGCAATCAGTTCGGTCGTTCTGATAAGCGGCAAAAAAGGTTGTTTCATAGCCGGAGCGGATATCACGTGAGTGACCGACCTGCCTGGGTCTAGAGTCCTAAGCTCTTGATTCAACCACAACAGGAGGCGTCCTGTACGTATCTTCATCCGGACTCTTTTCTTCAGGATGCTGGAATCTTGCAAATCCGTCGAAGAGGCCAAGAAGCTAGTCACCGACGGACACAAAGTACTGCAAGAAATCGAAGATTTCCCCAAACCTGTCGTGGCCGCCATAATGGGCTCGTGCTTAGGAGGGGGTCTCGAAACCGCGCTGGCCTGTCATTACCGGATCGCCATGAACGACAGCAAGACGGCGCTCGGACTCCCTGAGGTGATGCTCGGAGTTCTTCCCGGTGGCGGGGGCACGCAGCGACTCCCAAAACTCGTTCAGCTCCCCACCGCTCTCGACATGATGCTGACGGGGAAGAGCTTGAAGGCGAATAAAGCGAAGAAAGCCGGCTTCGTCGACGTCGTCATCGAGCCCCTTGGTCCTGGAGTCAAGTCCGCAGAGGACCGCATGATGGAATACCTGGAGGAGGTAGCCTGCAACGCTGCTCGTGATCTCGCCTCCCAGAAGCTCAAAGTCAATCGGACGAGACCGCTGTCCGAGAAAGTCCTAGCCAAGGCATTGCAGTTCAACTTCGTCAGAGACTACATTTTCGATAAGGCGAAGGGTCAGGTGATGAAATTGACAAACGGGCTGTACCCGGCTCCCTTGAGAATCATCCAGGTCATCAGAGCCGGACTCGAGAAGAGCAAAGCCGAAGCTTACGAAATCGAAGCGCAGAATTTCGCCGAGCTCTGCATGACGACCGAGAGCCGGGGACTCATGGGGCTCTACCATGGACAGGTTCAATGCAAAAAAACGTGTTCGGCAAACCCGAGCGAACTACTCAGTAAGTGAATAGCCCTCGACGTGTTTTCCGACACTCCGGCTAGCGTTATCCCAGTGAACATAATTTCTATTCCACTCCCGAGCTAACTCATCACTCGATCCCATCTGAAGTGGATTTGCCTAAGTGTTTGTCATTTTTTTCCAGAAACGTCGCTGTGCTGGGAGCTGGTTTGATGGGCGCAGGTATTTGTGAGGTCTCTCTGAAGAACTTCGACAAAGTCATCATGAAAGATGCTTTCCCCAAGGGCTTAGTCAGAGGCCAGAATCAAATCGATGAAAACCTCAGCAAGAAAGTCAAGAGGAAGAGGCTCTCCGGCTACGAGAAAGACAAGCTCATGTCTGGTCTTCTCCCGACCCTCGATTATTCGAAGCTCAAGGATGCCGACATGGTGATCGAAGCCGTTTTCGAAGATCTCGCTGTGAGTTGCGCTGAATTGAGACCCTGAAATGACAGTTGGGGAGCGGCTATAATTTGCTTGCGGGTGCTTCCTGTGCCTTGAGAACTTAACGATTGAATTTCTTTCCTCCGAAGGTCAAGCACAAAGTTGTGAAAGAGGTTGAAGCTGTAGTCCCGGAGCACTGTGTCTTCGCTTCGAACACGTCTGCGTTACCCATCACGAAAATTGCCGAGGCATCGAAAAGACCTGAGAAGGTTGTTGGTATGCACTATTTCTCGCCCGTAGATAAGATGCAACTCCTCGAAGTCATCACCACTGACAAGACGTCGAAGGACACGGCGGCTGCCGCTGTCGACGTCGGTCTGCGTCAAGGCAAAGTAGTCATTGTCGTGAAGGACGGTCCAGGATTCTACACGACGAGGATCCTTGCTCCCATGATGTCGGAGGCGATGATCCTGCTCATGGAAGGATGTCCCGTCAGGGATCTCGACAAGCTCTGCAAGGACTTCGGATTTCCCGTGGGCGGAGCCACCCTGCTCGATGAGGTATTTGAGATTTTGTATCTTGGTAACTCATATAAGTTCGAGAGCATTCAGGAGATTGCGTCGCTCGATTACTCGGGACACTCGATCGCCCCACACCGAATCCGGACACGACTGATCCGATTCGTCCGATTCCAGGTTGGTATCGACGTCGGAGCTCACATCGCCAAGTACCTCGGGACCGTGTTTGGGGAGCGTCTGACCGGTGGGGCCAACGCCGCGCTCATGGAAGAAATGGTATCGCAGAACTTCCTCGGACGGAAATCCGGGAAGGGTTGCTACATCTACACTCCCGGCGTCAAGGACCGAGCGGTCAATCCAGGAGTCGAAGCCATGCAAGCTAAATACGCCAAGCCGAAGAGTATGGAGAACACCACCGAACAGATGCAGTACCGTTTGGCGACTCGATTCATCAATGAAGCTATAATGTGCCTCCAAGAAGGAATACTCGCCAACCCCGTCGAGGGAGACATTGGCGCCGTTTTCGGTCTCGGTTTCCCGCCAAACCGTGGAGGACCGTTCCATTTCGTTGACACGTACGGAGCGGACAAAATCGTTAACTGGATGCAGCAGTTCCAGGAGAAGGTCCATCCCAAGACCTTCGAGCCTTGTCAGCTGCTCCTGGACCATGCAAAGGATCCGTCGAAGAAATTCCATGCCAGGAACAAGTAATGCAGCGATTCTTCTGACACGAGCGGAGTCGACGGCGGCGACAGCGTCGAGCACGACCACATTTTGATCAAGTCGAGTCGTTTCTGATGTGCCTTCGCATCCAGCCGTCTGACGTGCAATGTGAACGACGAACCGGACCATCATCTGGAATCAATCAGTTGACGCAAAGAACTAAAAGAACGACCGAGAGAGAATGGGTACCTATATTTTGGAACGAGAGTCAGTGGTTTGTTGTATAAGATGATTGTCCTCGACCGAGGGGGAGGGGCTTCCCGTAAGCGCCAAGCCTTGCGAGTATGAAGTTTGACAGAGTATAGTTTTATGCAGAATTGATGAGAGGGATTTTTCAGCGAATATATTCAACGACAGCTATAAAATTTTCTTGTAGACAAACAACAGTGTTTTTCTTCGATTGATAGCCCTCGAAGACTGCTCCGGACTTCATGTGTAGCATCGATTGGGAGCTAAATTGAAAAAAATAATGATGTCTCGGCGAGATTCTGAGCACAATAGTTCCTCAGATATATTAATTCATGTATTCCATAAACAACAATGGTAACCGGATCCCTTCTCTCACAACGTGTCCAATTCCTCCGGTCGAACCGGTCTGGTTAGAGGAATGACAGAGACCTTGTCCTCGTCTCGACTGAGGGCTTTCCGCATGTCGAAAGCATCCTCGTCCGGATCCGAGCCCGAACTCGAATAATAGCCGAGCACGCGCCGGTATATCGTATACCCTAGGCGCTTGTACATGTCGATGGCGATCGAGTTCGAAAGTCGAACGAACAGGTCGACGAAATAGCAATTCTTCTCCTCCGAGATTTCCTCCAGGCTGTCCATGAGTCTGTTCGCAACACCGAGCCGACGGTACTCGGGAGCAACTGGAAACAGAGGGACTCAAAATTATTGGCTCAACATGAAGCTGTGCTCCTTGGACACGATTCGTTTAGCAGGTCATATCTTTGTCCCGGAGAGGGTTTGGTCGGACTTCCAAATCCATCTCAACTCACCGCTGAGGGCTGTCACATGGCCGTGTAGGTTGCGGCTGAATCCTTCAGCCTTCCCCATTATATAACCCATGATGTCACCACTGACGCTTTCCAGTGTTTGGAAGTATTCAGGCCATTTCGCGAGGTATGTGAGGTAGAAGGAAACTCCATAGGTTTCAGTAAGCACATCCAAGTTGACGTTGTTGTAGGTTAACAGATCCGAACAGACGAAAGGTCGGATTGTGCACATGTTTCTGGGAAGATCAACGAAATAGAATGAGAAACGGGAGAAGCTCCTCTTTGAAGGGAATCCGCGAATGAAGCGTACGGTGTACGGGCTCGACAGGATTCCGAGCTTCACATCACAGTGGAATTTGGCCCCTATTTTCCTCGTATAGGGGAGTAGACTTATCGCAACGCGGCATCGAGATCGACACGAAAGCTCTACGTAGATATTCTTGAAGTATACTGGATCCTCCCGGGACCGCCGGAGGCTATTCTGGGCTTGAGCCGAGAGGTTTCGAACGCCGGGACCAACACGAAACGTACAGCTGAGAGCTCCTCTCCCAGCCGGTCGCGTCATGTCCATCGTGATAGGAGAGCTGTTCGATACCGATGTGAACACTAGCGATTGCTCACGTTTCTAGTCGAGAGAGGGATTCAGGCACTCGGGCAGCGAGAGACTGAAGAGACTCACATGAGAGCTCAGATGGTCAGGACATCTATCGGATTCGGTCTCCCGCGTGCGTGTTTACATTTTGCGCGGCTGCGGTAAACGAAACCGGAAGCTCGGGTGGGAGTGGAGAGGGTCAGAACTCTACCTTCAGCTCCGGCGAAAGTGTATCGATACCGGTTTCCGGTACTCTGCTTCCTGATTTCCCGCAGGAATAATTTCGGCGCCGGAGATCTTCCTGCTCGTACATACAGTTGGTCTTCATGGGAATCGTGGTGTTCGCGGCGGTGCTTGAGCACTCGAACGTAAGATGGCGTTGGCTCTGCTCGGCAGAATCTGCTCCAGAGTCCCTCCACATTGAGCGCGGTTTGCCAACCCTTCCTAAGCTCGTGTTCCCTTCCGAGTCGGAAAGCGCTTCAATGGAACGACGCCTATCGTCCAGAGTGGGGCTCAGTTGTTCTTCCGGCTTCGGGTACGCGAGTCCTTGTCAACACAATGAGAGTCGGAATGAGCTTCGAAATAGACGCTCGCCCATCGAGGAATCATCGGATGAGACATACCGAACGGTGGATAAGGGGGGGGGCTCTCATTTGGGGAGAACTCACACCATTCGCTTCAATGGTCTCAGAGAAAAGTCTCCAGGAAAAAGTTCCATTGCTCGTGCGTCAGCAGCTCCTCAAATTGTTCCTAGTTCTCGATGGAATGCTGGTCTCTTCAGTCAGATGGGTTGCTTATTGGGACTGAAACCTAATAAGTTTTTACCCTGTTTTTCTTTTCTCCGAAGTCGAGGGTATTCGCTCCAGCGAAGCTTTCGAGGATTGGGATTCTGCCATTTTTCCCCCATGTTCTGGATCTGGAGAAGTGTTTCCCAGGAAGTTTTTAGTGAGGCGGAGAGTTTGCGAACCGCTTGACCTTTCGTGGCTCGGAATCAATCACCTGCATTCTCGCAGACTTAGCTTCACTGCGGTCAAGACGGAACACCTTCTCAATTCATCAATACACGATGATGGGACCGTTTCCCAAGATCATTGATCCGTACCTGATAATCACAGGAAAACTATGGAATACTCGGTCAGGGTGACTAAACCTCTCGGAAACCCAGATCCGCCAGGTCGCAACGGGATGCATCGAGGATTTTGCTCCTCGTTGTCGCGGTCGAGCCAAATGTCGGTTTTCTCGGGAAAGTTTCAAAGTCCTGAGCACGATTAATGTACGCCCGTGAAGCCTTCGCACAGCACACTTATGCTCTCCCAGTTACGCGCCAGACTCGAACTGCTAGGAAAAAAGTCGGGAGTATAGGGCTGCTGTCGATCAAGATAGGTATTAAGACTTCTTGAACGCTCTTGGCGGGTGCTTTCAAGGAGATGTTCTCTTCATAGGCGGCGGGAGCTCCCAAGGGGGTCACGTTGACAACCCGACAGGACCGATGCTGTCGGCCCGACCGGAGGAAGCCGGGATAGATGTTGTGGATGGGGAATCTTCGGAAAGGCAACAGATCCACGGAGTCTGAGCAAGGCAAGCTCGATGAGATCCGCTCGCGGTCGATGAAGTCCCTCAACCGTAGAAGAGGATGCGGGCGTCTGAAACTCTGTGTCGACGCTGTCCGGGCGCTTCTCTCGACAAATGATCGTGATCATGCGCCAAGCGAAACCCGGCAACACCGAACGCGACGCGCTCATCACCACACGTGCTCGTGTCGGCTCCCCAAAGGATCTCCGGTCGCGAATTCCGGTCGTCCGCCTCCCATGGACTCCTTCAGGAATTCCCTTCGCAGCAGAGTCTGATGGATAGCTCCGATTTTCCCCGGCGGATCGATCCGAGAAGAGACCGAATCCAAAACAGAGGAAATTCGATACAGGATGAAATCCGCGATGCGGAGAATTCGAATAGATAGAACTCGCGTTTCTGGGAGTCCTTTCCGACGTTCGGCTCCGCGCCCCCGACACGGCAACTCACTCACTTTCCAGCTCGGGAAGACTCTGCCATGAAGAACCTCGAGCGTTGCGACAGCTTTTTCAGGCATCGGGAAGAGCGAGCGATGGGACATGATGCTATTTCCGTCCCCGACTCCGTCCCGCGGAGAATATCCAGTGTAATTTGATGCCGTTCGCTCCAATGTATCTCATCGGAGCACGAGCGCAATTTCCCGAGCTCTCATTACGACGGCCCTCACTCGACACCTGACCTCGTGTCGTAGTTCCGCGAGCAATGGATGCTGCTGGAAATACTCGGGGTTCCCAGCGAGGTAATTTATCTATTCCCGTACCAAACTCCGCCGGAGTGGTCCATATACGTTCACGGTGATCGTTTGACGGTGGCTTTTCAGCCGACGATGTCATAGAAGTGTATCGAGAACTGTCCCGCCGATCGATCTAGTACCAATAGATTGAAATATTATCAGCCCTGGTTGCAAGCCTCGGGTGCCCCCGCTCTCGCGTGAGTCCAGCCTCTTTGATAGAATACAGAATGGGATTCTTCGTGGAATGGAGGCGAACAAGGCGCTCATAACAGCAGAAGCTTTCACAGAAACCCTGCCGACGATATTGAACAGAACGGTGGCCGATCAGCTCCTAATCGATTGTTGCCATGCTCGGCTCGGAACCGTACCAGGGAACGTCGCCCCGTCCGCTGTCCAAGAGTTGCACAATAGAGGTTTCATCACAGCATCTCAAGCCATGACCTGGTACGTCATGCTGTGGTCCGAGAGAGAAGGACGACCACGGCGTGGGTGTTCAGATTCGGTCGGACAAGTTCTACACTAGGCGGGGAACCTCTTGATTGACCTTGAACAGGTCAGGTACCGCTCCCCCTTGATGAAATCAGAGCAGCGGCGACCCCGATTAGGATCCTCCGCCCAACGCGACCGTCTTCCACGGGGCAAGGAGGAGGGATTTCATTGTTCAGGGGCTCGAGACTCGTCGCAACAAATCGTCACACAAAGACACATGTTCATTCCTTCCCGATCCCGTGGCGGATTGCGAACGGAATGCGTAACGTTCAGTGTCTCTCCCGCAGCTCCCTCTCTCCAGCGATTGATGTCCGAGGAAGTCGTAACATATCAGGAGCACCTCAGGCGGTCGACGGGAGGTCCGCTACCGTGGCGTTCGTAATCTGATTCCGAGGCAGACTGTTGACCTCATGCAGCTCATCGATCCGAGTACGATACGAGGCATGAGGTTAGGGCGCAGCGGCCGGAACTTCCTTCGAACGGTGCTCCCCAAGAATCATCGATAATTATTCGACGAAAAACATCCGAGTCGGCGTCGGTCGCTCGCCTCGCCTATCACAGGGGCTCACTTTCGACATCGAGAAGTTTGATGGCATTTCTGTGGAGGACGCCCGGGCTCCCACGCAAGGGGGGAATTTCCTCCCGTAGATTCCAGCGTGGGATCGCTGGGATCTGTGGTATCCTTGATCGAGTCTGTTTCCTAGATATTGCGTTAATACTACGGCCATTAGAACGAAGTCTGTAAGCCGCCACGGAGCCAAAGGGCTCTTACGGTTCAATTTTGAAGACTTATCCCGTGAGGATCTTCCTCCTCCACCGAGGTCGGCTCATGACATCACCGACTTCCTCCCCGCCACCGGTTGCCGAGTATCACGACAAGGATCCCGACTCTCACCCGATTGCTTTGAAAAGCGGGTCTCTATCGGCCCGCAGCTCACGCAAAATGAGTCACGCTTCAGTTTAGCAAAGCTCCGGGCGCTTGACTCCATTCCGTAGGTACATCGGAAGCTCCGCACGACTGCGGAGAAGCCGACCAAAAGCTGGAAGACTCACGATACGCTGGGTCGAATATCTCACGGGCTCGTCCGCGGATGTCAGAACCGCACATCATGGCGCCATTTGCAAAGTGAGGATACAAGAAAATTCAAAAAGTGAAGATACAAGAGAATTCGGAAACTGAAAACAGGTACGAGAGAATTCTGTGAAGATTACATACATAGATAAAAACATACACACCTACATACATACACACCTACATATATGAAATTATTCCAGATCCTCTGAATCTGGTGAATTCATCTGCGGTCGCAAAACTTTATTGGGCGAACATAGTTCGCGATGAGGGGGAATTCGAGGAGCGGATGGGAACGAATCGGATGCGGGTTCATCCAATATGGGGAAATGGATGTCGCCATTGAACGGAGTCGTGCCGCGCTGGAAATGCTAAATTGAGAGCTCTTGCTGCGGGGTTTCCTACCATGGGTCGCATGGGAATTTTGAATCGGTCATAAAAATACAACTGCTCAATGTGTTGTGTAGCTGGTCCAAATCCGGAGTCTTGAATGAAGTAGCGCAGATCCGGGGTTTGCAATCCAGAAGCTCCGTGCGACGTTCTGAGCACCATGCATGGGTTTAGAATCTTCAAGTTCTATGGGTTCAGGGAGGAACGCTTGAAAGACGAACATATTACCGCTCACGCTCCGAGCGTACCGCCATATATTGCACTTTGTTAGCGCATGACCAACTTTCGACAGCGCCAGGACTCAGGGGCTCAGATTCAAGGTCTCGAATGAGCTTTCCGTCCGAGGCAGCTTAGGAGAGTCTGTGGGGAACAAATGTCTGGAATTCCAAGCATTCATCCGACTCGAGGAAACTCAAGCCTGCTTGAATAGAGGATGTGGGCCCTCGTTTGTTGTTATGGAAATCATGTCTTCCTCTATATTTAGGAATGAGATTCCCGCCGTCTGGGTCCACGTCGCGTCCTTTCAAGCCTGCGGCTACGTGCAGAGGATATGTTGTCCTAATCAACTCAGCTGCGTGCGAGGTCGGACTTTTGAGGCAAGTCTTTGATCGAAACAGTGTTTCCGTTCCTTCTCGATATTCTCTCAAGCAATCCGACACGCGGATGGTGCTCCGAATTTCTCGCGATTCGATTTTCGCTGCTGAGCTGCCTAAATCTGACAGAGAGATAGCCTGATAGTGGACGAGGGAAGCGGGAAACCTAAGCGCTGTAATTGCGGCCGCGGTTTCGTGTTAGGCCAATCCCAAGGCGCTCATACGTTCGGTCGGACTCGGGAAGCGATTTCCAACGCTCCTCGATATGGCTCGTTGTGGAGAGCAGCTCCCGAGGAG